TTACCAATAATTCACAATCAATGCCTTTTCTTCTCCGAAAGAGTGGTTAGCCTCACAAAACAGAGTAATAAAATGAACGCTGAGGGCTTTATTCATACTATTTTAATGCAATATGTTTTCTATGGTTAGCTTAATTGCAACATAACACCTTGTATTTTATTTATTATGCCTGACAAATAATTCTCTTTGTACCTAGACAGAAAAAGGGAGTTTTACAAGTTTTAAAATTACTAATAAATATGTTAGTTTCTAAATACCAGCTACATATGACATGCTGATTTACACTGATGTTTTATGGGAAATTTATGCTTCTTAAGCAGAAAGTTCAGTGGCTCTGTAAGGTCCAGATTATTTTTCTTTCCTTGCCAAAGCTCCACGCTGCCCTGCCAGGTTTGATACTTCTGTGAACCTGCCGTCCTGAGTACTCAGTTAATAAAGTATCCTGTTTATTGAGCTGTGAACTGGATTTTCTGAGGCTGTGCCGAACTCAAATCCAAGCATTTATTTGGCTTTTTTCTTCCAAGTCACAGAGATCAAACAGGCTGAGACAGGGAGCCATCCCAAACGTAACTCACAATATTTCTTTTTTTCCAAAGTTAAACCTGTGTGACTCAGATTGCTTCTTTTGAGACAGGTGAATCATTTATATCTTCAGAAAAAAATAATAAAAATACTGCTGAATCTGTTATACTTTGTTCAAATTTGATCCTCTGTCAAACTAGTAATTCAGGTGTAAATAATATTCTTTAGTGCTGTTTATCAAAAACTTACAGCTCTCAGTTTGTCAGTTTATATTTTTTATAGAGGTCTTAAACGATTAGCCATCACTTTTCTTTTCTGCTCAACTTAAAAAGAAATTAAAACTCAAGTAACTCCAAGTAACGTCTGTCTGCTGAGGTGAAGAATAAAAAGACAATATGGTGCAATAACTGCGAGTGTTTTATTTAAGTTTTTTTACATCGTTTTGCAATTAAAACATTAACACCTTAATATTATAAATATATAAATTTGAACATCAAGAAAAAAGTTAAAGTTAATGTTATGGATGATAGGATGATTGTATTAACAAATACTGATAATTAAACGATATTCAAACTAAAGCTTTTAATAGTTTTATTCTAAACCAGTATGTTGAAAACCCTTTCAAATCAGGTTGTTTGTAATGTGGCACATCTACAGTATGTATCAGGTAATGCACAACATACATTCCCTTCCTTGCTTTGAAGCTTTTGTGTTGCACTGCTACCTGTTTTGTTTACCGTCATCTCAGAAATTAATACAGTCTGTCTAGTTATAAAAATCTAAGTTATTCTAAAAACAAGACAGGTGAGTAGATGGTTCTTGCATCACATTTGCATTTAAATTGTTGTAAGAACATGGTCACAAGTCCCAGGCTAAATGATTTGAAAGAGCCACTATCAAAACAACTCCGATGTCTATATGTTGTTAGAGCTGTCCACTGGTGAACAGAACATTCAAGAGAAGTTTCCAAGTATCACAGTTAAACACCCTTTTTTAAATACAACACATTTTTACTACCATGATCATAGCTTAGGAAATGTATGGAAAACCCTGGGATAAAGACGTGAAAGAAAATAAAACTGTCCTGTTTTTTAAGCAACTGAGAAGAAAAGCTGGTATTTCTCACAAACACTCATTTATTCCTGTGTTCTTTTAGGTTTAGCTGTGCAATCAATTTGGTTTAAACTTGTCATTTTATGAAAATTGGAATGGGAGCAGATAATAACACGTTTCCCAACAAACCGCAATATTCTGTTGTGTACCAAAGGAGACATAAAGCCTTTATCATTTAAATTCAAAGGAACAAAGCTCAGATATGTTTTGCCATACTTTAAAACTACATTGCATTATATTTTACAAGCTCACAATTTCCCCAAACGTTTCAGTGGTTTGATGCATAAACAAACAACTGCAAGCTGGAAAGACAGTAAACATGACTTCATATGCATATTTAATGAAAGGAGTAATGGGCGTATTAAATCAGGTGATAAGGCGTGCCAGTTTTCTAGAGTCTGCAGATGTGTTATTCCTGTGTCTTAACTGAATTGAGTTACAGCTCAGTGGAGCCCACCTGCAGCTCTGCCTGTGTAAGCAATATGTCCCAGGGTTTATTAGGAACTTCATAAGAGATAAGGCCAGAACACTGTTGCGCTTTAGTCCTGTGTCATGTCTGAAATAATGGACAGAAGATCACAGACTAAAGCTGATTTATGAATTTAGGGCAAGCTAGTATCAAGCAAGAAATAAAGCGTAGTGAATTTCATGCCTGCAGTTTTATGAAAAAAGATTTAATTTTCTATGGTAAGTTTGATTTAATTTTGATTTGATTTATTTATTTAACAGGAAAAGATTATTAAAAATCAAGCCTGACTCAGCATAATTGCTGTTTTACAGCAGGTTCCTGTTCTGCAGCACATAAAACACTCAGAATTACAGCATCACAATCACATCATTATTATTACACCATAGACACAAAGACAAACAAGCATGCCAAATATCAAAAAGGCAGCATTTACAAAATCGGAAGTCTAAATATGAGCACAACAAAAAGTGTCCCGCAGATGGCAGACAAGATTCTTCTTAAAGGGCTGTAGTTTTGAAATGGACTTTATGTTTTGWGGAATGTCATTCCATGCTTTAGTATAAATATAGAAGAAAGACATCTGGCCGTAACAGTTTTTTAAAAGTTGGTAATATCAGTTGTCCTTTTGTAGCAGATCACGATAAGTCAAATGAGAATCCAAAGTAATTTCAAGAAATTTGTAGGTAGTAACAATATAAAGGGGTTTGTTTAAAAAAGTGAATTGATTTGTTATATTGAAATGTCTCCTGGGTGAGGAAAAACACATGCACACAGTTTTTTAACATTAATTGACAAAAGATTATCTTGAAGCCAACCACGAAATATCTGAAGATCTGCTTGTAACTGACTATTAATAGATTCAATATTGAAATCAGACAAAAAAAAAACTGTATCATCAGCATACATTAAAATATTTGAGTACTTCAATATTTTTGGAAGGTCATTTACTGTATGTATAATAGGAAAAGCAATGGGCCCAGTACGCTACCCTGCGGAACTCCCACTGAACAGGGCAGAGACCGGACACAGAGCTTCCATGTTTCACAACCTGACACCTTTCAGTCAAATAAGAGGAAAACATTTGTATTGCAGATGATAAAAGTTGAAAAGAAATCAACTTTTGTAAGAGAGTATAATGATCAACTGTGTCAAACGCTTTATGAAAATCAATATATACAGCACCAGTTGCTTGACCTTTGTTCAAAGCAGCACGTAATGATATCCTAACTGAAGAAATAAAATAAAACAAGTTAGCAATTTTTTCATGATCAGAAACAAGAAGTCCATTTACTGAGATTTGTGAATTGTTATTAAATGTTTTATTGTTACTTTCACCTGTCACTGACTTAATCGTTTCCCATAGTATTTTTGGATTCTTACTGGCTGAAATAATTTGATTTTTAAAATATTGTTGTTTGGTTTTGCATAATTCAGCAACACATTTATTTCGGTAATTGTTTAAACGAGACCGATTTTCAGAAGTTTTTGATATTCTATAAGTTTTCATTGAAGAAGCTTTCAACTTTAGGAGATGTATTATAGAGGCATTCAACCATGGAATTTTATTTTTCCAGACTGGAACTTTACAAGTTGAAATATATTTTTCCTGTATTGTTTAAATGAAATGCAGGCATATTGTCTATAGCTGCTTCACAAAATATATGGGAGGGAATCTGAACTGATAATACACTACGGGTGTAAGATTATGTTGCAATATTTCATTTCCCGATGCATGTTGATTCTCTAAAGCACTGTATTGATTTTTTAATTAAGGCTTAAAATGTAAACTTTCATCCAGCAGTTCAATCTAGAGTTGTATTTTAGCCTCCAACCACTAGTTGGCAGCAGCAGTCTGCCAGCCATTTGGGTCCTCCACTCCAGTGGAGCCTGAGAGTAAAATGCTAGCTCAAACATTAGCATTGTGAGTAAATGCTAGCACTAAGTACCAATTGCTTAATCTGAACAGATTAGACTAACACCCACTGCCTCCAAAGCAAAAGCAGGGTGGTTAGCTATCCTGAATCAGCCAGGATGTCATTAGTGTGGGGGCTGACCATATTTTTATAATTCATTTTTATTAGAAATCTAAAAGCTGCCACAGATCTATTAGCAACTATTTAATGGCACGTTTGGCCTAACCATTGAAAACATTGAGAAAATAAGAAATATGAAACATACTGAGTTTTTTTATTACAATTTTTGGAGAAAAACTGGCAATATATTCCAATATTTAGTTACGTTTACAGTATAGCAACGTATCATGAAATATTGTATTGTGATCGCTGTGTCATGATTTATTTTTCACATAACCGAATTCTTGCCCATACACAGTAGGGCTGCACAATATAATGCAGATATATCGTCATTGCAATATCAATGTGTGCAATATTCATATTGCAAAGGACTGCTTTGGGTGCAAAAATTGTTGACTAATGCGTTTGAAGAGTTTTGAAGATGTATTTTCATGCTGATGCAAAATTTAGCCAGTAGGACACAGTCTCACAGCAGCACAAAGCTCCCACCAGGCATTGCCAAATACCGTATGCTAAAATTCACATAGAATATGATGTACAGATTAGAAAGTGAGAAAAAATAAGATATTGCACTTGATTTTGTCATCACAATATTTACAAATATTATCGCCATCTCAAGATTTTCTAATGCTGTGCACCTCTACAACACAGCACAACAATATAATATATTGTCGTTTGACTTTTTGCTGAAATTGATTTATATGCAGTTTTTAAATGTAAGTAAACAGATATACCGCCATCATTATGCTTCTTACTTTGATTGATAAAATGCAAGCGCACATTCAAAACAGCCCTCCAACATAACAAGGCTTTAAGGCACTGTCTGCTTAAATTGATGACTGTACTGATGTGTGTTTAATTACCTGTGTGCGCTCCTGACAGTGAGCTAAGAACACGGGAATGTTGTGTCGCTCCATCATAAACCTCCACGATGTCATTCAAAGCCGTTTGGAAGAAAGCGAATTGGCTGAAGACCACTAGAAAAGACAAACATGGAGAGAAAGTGGTCATAAAGGTGAAAGGAGCTGGGGAAAAATGATTGCAGAAGTCACACAAAAAAACAAACAAAAAAAAACATGAAATGCTGCTCCTTGGTTTCCACAATCAAAAGAAAATTATCAGAATCGATTTCAATCAAGATGTCCTCCTTAAAGCAGGGTGGATTATCCTGCCAGTTATGACAACACAGCCAAAAACTGATATTTCAACAGAGATCAGGAATCTTGTCTAGGCTTGATGGCCTGTCAGTAGATGAAAGTCTTTGCAATGACAGCCAATCTGCCGTACAATGTGTAGCTAAAGCTCCGTTACAGAGCTTTCATCCTTTCAACACACCGTTTTTACTGGAATTACTTGAACAGTAGTCATCCCTTTCACAGTCAATCTATGTCTAGTTTAATTGTGGCAAATGCTGCTATTTAAAATACAAATTATACATGAGGGATAAAAACAGGCAAAATGGACAGTGAACAACTGCTTTTTTATTAGGTGTGATGGCAGGATATCATGAATTCATTCAACAGAACTTAGGATCTGTAAACTCTCGCTGACTTTCAATGAATTTTTTTGTATGTTTCTTTAATGTGTGCTTGTGGTGAGAAAAGCTATTGGTTACAGTGACACTCAACCTGTCCTCTGTAAAAAGTCTGTCATTAGTTTTGTGCAACAACCTGATGAAAAGAAATAAAGAACAACGACAAAAGCTTCTGTGTGTGTGTGGCTCTGCACGACAAAGTGAGTTGCCCTGGGCTCCGCTGTCATACAGGAAAATGCAAATGTGTATTTTAATTATTTCAATTGTTGTTCTCAAAATGACTTTTTTAAGTGAAATATGCCATTAAAAATATTCAAAATAAAGTGTAAAACCAGTCATTTTAAAACAGCACTGGACCTTTGATGAAGCATCACAACCTCAACATTCAAAAAAAGGAGGTGGAGTACATTGAAACCAAACACAAGCAGCTACTTTTGGTGTACCGTAATTTAACCACAACAAGGGTTTTTCCTGAGAGAGGCATGATGCTGATTACTTATTAAAGAGCCAGAGGTTACGGTAGTATCTCACTGGGCCGCGAGTGTCGACAGCTAGTTTATGGTAAGTGCAGGGTACCAATTTGAAGCCTAACCAAGCAAAGGGGAAGGTGCAGCATAAACTCACATTGCCATCAGAGCATCTGAATTTTTGGGTGGGATTAATAAGGTAGTGTTGTAGTATTCAAGACCAGTCTTGATCTTAAGACCACTTTTTGATGGTCTCGGTCTCATCTCTGACTCAACCACAATTGTGCTCTGTCTTGTCTCGGACATTGAGGACTTGGGATTTTATTTCAAGACCAGTCAAGACCACAACTATGGAAATATCACTAAATTGTCATAATATTTTCCAATTTATTTGTTAACATTGATTTGATTTGATTTATTTATTTCACAGGAAAAGATTACTAAAAATTAAGCCTGACTTAGCATAATTGCTGTTTTACAGCAGGTTCCTGTTCTGCAGCACATAAAACACTCAGAAATACAGCATCACAATCACATCATTATACACCATGGACAAAAAGACAAACAAGCATACCAAATTTCAGGAAGGCAGCATTTGCAAAATAGGATGTCTAAATACTGTATGAGCACAACAAAATGTGTCCAGTAGATGGCAGTCAATATTCTTCTTAAAGGGCTGTAGTTTTGAAATGGACTTTATGTTTTGAGGAATGTCATTMCATGCTTTAGTATAAACATAGAAGAAAGACCTCTGGTCATAACAGTTTTTAAAAGTTGATAATATCAGTTGTCCTTTTGTAACAGATCTAGTTGAATGACCACTTCCAGAATTTGATTTGAGCAGCAATGCACAGAGTTCCATAACTGGCACCTTGGAAGATCTGAAAATATAAATTAATACCACTATACAAAACATAATTCTGAAAAGTCAAGGCATCAGACAATGAAAGAACTGTACAGTGATGAGTCCAACCAGGAAGTTTTTTATGAATTTTGTAGGCCCTGTTGTAGAGCCTAAAGGCTCGTTCACACCGAGAGCGTTTTGAGCGGCAGGAGCTGCCAGTTTACATGCAAAGTCTATGGC